AGCATGAAATTACCTCATTGATTTTAGATCCCTTTAAAAATGTTAATATATTTTATAGAAGAAACAAAGAAAATAACTTCTTGCACTCGTCCGGTAGCAAGTTTCGTCTCCTTCAAATTTTTTAGTTGAAGATCGGTAGTCTTCGGCGTTTAAACAATTTCTAATTAGGAATATTTTTTTAATAACGTAATCTGTTCATCCATGAAGCATACTATCTTCCCGTTTATTAATACTGCCTATAAAGTATATAAAATGGTCCACCTTCATTGCAAAAATTTATGAGCAATACATAAAATCTTCCTACTGGCATAAAGAAATGATTGGTTTTCCTTCAACGGAATGCAGTTTGGAAGCCCTAAATGCAAGTGTAAGAGCAGGTCGTGTTCAAATTGCTTCAGCAATTAAAAAAAGTCTTTCCAAATCGAAAGATACATTTTCTTTAGGTATTGACTTCAAAGAAGACATTCTTTCCTGCCAAATATGTAACAGAAAAAATATTGCAGTGCTTGCTTTCTATTAAATATAGTTGAATTTTTAAGAGTATCGAAAATCAATGAAAATCTCATACTACTTAGGTAATCCTTTTTCACAGAGTGTAGTTTTTTAGGCGGTCGAACAGAAGCTCGTCCAAAAGCGGACATCCTGAGTGAGCGAAATACCTTAGGATTATGCTACATTTTTAGTAGTATTTCAACTAAGCAAAACGCGTTTCAGAATTTCAATTGACATTTCATGAGATAGCACACCTTCGTATTACTCGTTACGCCCACCCGGCTAGGTGGCGTGGCCCAGTTCCCAGCTAAGGGCGTGAGAACGCAGCCGACAGGTAGCGTGATTTCAGCCCCATCCAATGACCCAAGCGTTCCTGTTGTAACGGTAGCCAAAGCTAGCTGTCCGTTAAGCTCCTCCTAACGGTTACCACCCTTCCCCGTACTTTGAGACCACGCATGTGTTTAAATATTTTTCTCCTCTCAGTCTCTGAAGGCGGGCTCCAAAATCTCAAGTAAATGCAACTGACTTTCCGGCGATCAGTTTCTTCTTTGGCAGGGAAATCTGGGAGTTTTTTTATTTGCCCCCCTTTTGGTTCGATTAGTTTATGTCCAATTTATGTGATTCTGCCTAAATGTATCCGCGTAGACTTACAGCAAAACTTCCCAATTATTTCTTTCTTGCCATCCTTACACTCTTCGCATGGCTCATTAATAAATCGCACGGATGTGACATGCTATTTTATGTTGCTTGGTACTACACTAGTGATCGTACTGCATCCAATAAGAAGCCTATGCTATTATTTCCTCTGCTTTTTTATGACAGTAATGCATTTACCGTCAGTGATTCGAGTCCACAGTAGCTACACTATGTCGCCTAGTGATCGCAAATGTATTCCCTATCTGCTCTTTTTTAATTTGGCTTTTTTTGCTGCTCCTCCAGAAACCGCGTTGGGGACACTTATCCCGCTGCTGGTCTGCCTGTTGCATGTTACGCGAAGATTCTACGAGTGTCTGTTTGTACACGTCTTTTCCGACAGCAAAATGTCTGTTGTGCACTACTTGGCTGGCCACTTCTTCTACTTGTCGCTGCCGGTGTGCCTAGTCTCCAGTGAACCCTCCACAGGTGTGTTTCGCTCACAGCTCTTTCTTATCAGGCACTAGGTCAGAAGTAGCTCGATCCTTGTCTTTCAGATGAACTTACAGCCGTCAGGGTTGCCCTAAGGGCTGCCGTTTTTGCAAAACATAAGCGTGGTTGCTCCTCTGAATGTGATTACCCTTAAGGTAAAAATAAATGGTGGGCCGCCTAATGTTGATAGGAGTTTCTCAATAGTGATATTGGTGCATATAGGCTTGTATTGTTAATCGTTAGGAGTTTCCTTATAGTTTTCTTGATCTGTAGGCTTCCTTTGCTGACCAATAGGAGTTTCTCTTGGTTTTTTTTGTTTTTTTTTTCGCATGCTTTCCGTCGATCTTTCAGTTCAGTGAGACAATTAAAGGCGCCATTACTTTATTTCCTACCGCGCGCTTATCACGCATTACCTGCTCTTTAATCAAGCATTTATCCTTTACCCACGAATTCCGTCACACACTTCGGCTGGGAGACTTTAGGCATTAGGCGGTACTACAATTTATTCCTACCTCTCTTAAATTGCTCGCTTGCCTTTGAGATCCAAGCTCGACTGCACTGGACTTGTAGTCCTAAAAGGAGCTACACCGCTGCCCTGTGGAACGCAAGAGATGAGGTTTTAGGCCACTTCAGCCATCGCCTTTGATTTCATCTTCATTTAGGCTAGTTCAATCTTATAACTAATACATCATAGGAAGAAAATTGAGAGTAAGACTGATTTCGCACCATTTATTTTTAAATAATACGGAAACAGTAGCTTATGTAGGCCCACTCATTAATCCCTACTTCCTGCGTGTTTTCCTACGAAAACGGTGGTTATATGGATTTTATGGGTGGGGAATTGAGACACGCAGTGGAATATGCCTAAATACGAAAACGGTGGTTATAGGGTTTTATGGGTGGGAAATTAGGACACGCAGTGGAATATACTTTAATAAATGAGGGTTTAATGGGCGGGAAATTAGGACACGCAGTGGAAATATACTTTAATAAATGCAAAATGCATTTTTATTTTACTGTATTTAGAAGTGTTGTTGATTTTTATCTGTAAATTTTCCTAATCTATATTATCGTTTAACTTATTGCGA